ATGTTTCTTATTTGATTCCTCAGCTCCAACCATTCTGCCTGCAATCCCTAAACACACATGAAATGCCAAAATTCATTTTCAAATCTCAGCCTAAGGAGGGGGGGGGGAGAGTACTGGCGCCAGTCGGGGATGTTACGAGAGAATAATTAAAAGAATTAAAAGAGTTATTGTGAGAAACTAATGATAGAATACTTTGATTATTCAATTTGAAAATGGAGATTCGGTGTTTTCTGGAAAAAAATCTTCGAAAGGATCACCTGTGTGCTCAGAGACCACATACCCTCACTCAAGAAACCTGGAGTTCCTGGAATCAGGAGAAATACAGAGAGAATCGTAGATTCGGACTTATAACAGAAAAGGAAACGAAGAAGAGGAGAATACTATCTAAGACGCATGGTTGAGAGGACAGGTTAACTCATTCTACCGCAAATCTCAAGAAATTCAAACCAGAGCTCCCATGTGTCTATATTTGTCATCACCTGATGACTGTGAGATCAACCATTGATCGCTCAGAACTACTGTTAATCATGTTTCTTCGTGATCAGTTCTGTAGTTTGTAGGAAAGTTTTTCTCTACCCTTGTCATCTCACAGTGGAGAGCACTGGATGACGTGCATGCATGACAGTTCATCTTCCAAATTCAGAAGAGTCTCTCCATCCAAAATCTTTTTTTTGTTTTCCTCCAAATTTCTCTTAACATCATGTTAATGTCTTTAGTGTAAATTTGATAAATTAGAGAATCAGTATCTTGATATACCAATTTCAATCGTTTATATTCATACTTCTTCTGCATAATGTTGTAATGAAAGTCATACATCACACAATTACTTAAATCAAGAACTGCGAAGCCTTTATATATAGGTTTATCTAGAACAATCTTATTCTTCTTCATTTCCACAAGAACGAGATGTCCATCATTCATAGTTATCCTTCTCTTATAATTTGGCTTAGGAGCATAAATCCTCCTCAAAATCATTTTCAGCTTACTTACGAAGATTAATATTCGGATTAGTATACCTCTCCAGCCATTGACTTTCTTTGAAAGTAATTATACGATGAACTTTCTTTCACTTTCTTGTTCTTTATCGCCTAATGTATTTACAACCTTTTAACTCCACGAGAGAATTCAATGTTTTGTGGAGTGGAAAATTATTTTGTTTCTTGTACAGATCTTTCAAATATTTTAAATCAACTTCGAAGATACATCTTTTATTTATTTAACCTAAATATTCGATAAAATTCATAATATTACATTTCAAATCAGGATGAGGAACATATTGATCAATATTAGTAAAGTTGTGGTTATATATAATCATTGTCCCACGGTTTACAATAACTGAAACTTATAAACTTCTCAGGATTACTAGGAATTAGTCTCAATTGGATTTTTCTTTTATATAGGTGAGCATCATTACTGTTGAATGGGTTGAATGTTTAGCAATCTTATTAAGTATTCTAAAGGTGAAGAAGTCAAATGCATTGAAGAAATAAAGAGAATGAGTCTTGATGTAATTTGTAAAGAAGTTTTAATCACAAATACCAAACTAAGATCTATGATTCTTCAAGTTCGTGAAGTTTAGTAGTTGAGAAAAAAGGAAATGATTGGATTCATTGAATTAATGAGAAGTTCTACAAACTAACCGAAAATATAAAAATTTTGGATTTCCTTGATTATTTTTTTCGTTTAAGTAATTACTTCTGAGAAAAAATGGATCATTTGAAAAAACTTTCTGAAGATGATCTACGTAAGAAATTTTGCGAGACTCTTGACGTACTATCAAAAGGAATAAGAAAAAATAGATTACTAACATACAAACAATATCATGCAATGAAAGTTGAAAAACTTTTCGAAAATTGATTGTAGAACACGAAAGCGAAGTTGAAGAATTACAGAAAACTAGAATAATCATAAGTAAATTGAATGAAATAGTTCCTTATGATGACATAATTAAAACTTATAACACTTCCAAAACTGGTGTTGTTGATTTTACAAATATTAATGATGGAATCTTATTTCCGAGAAGTTTCAAATATAGTAGAAGCATTCTGGGCTCTGTTCTACTTTCTACTAAATAATCATCTTTTTGAAACTCGATCAGAAGTATCTGCTACACCAACTGAGGATTACCTCCCTAAACCGGAGGTCTGGGGGTATCTCCCCAGTGCTGGGAAGCTTTTGAATGCGAAAAAATGCGATACAAATCTATCTTCTTTTTTACTTTCGAGAATATTATTAAGTTAGGATTGACTAGCTTTCTTTTGATGAAGATGGAATCGGTATGTTTTGTTGATATTTTGTCTTATTAGTCAATAATCTTATTTTCAGTTCATTGTTGTGCATGGCAACGACCAAGTTGTTAAAGTTGAAACAGATAATGGAACTGTTAGCAAAGACACTCTTCGCTCAGCTTTTCAACTTGAAGAGGACGTACCAATCGGACTCTTCAAGAACGATGTTGCTTTAGTGTAGGTTTTATTAAGATACTACGATTTCTGTTAGAAATTTGAAATAAAGTTTTGCACTCATTTTAATGTCAATTTCTAGGTGCCGGCGCGTAGGAGATGCTCACGTATTCAATTTGAAAGGAAACTGGGATGCATCCGAGTTTAAACTCCGCTGGGAAGAACTGAGGCGCTCCCGTCCAGTAACGCCAATTGAGCAAGGTATTCTCTCAATATTTTAACGCTTTTTATTGATTCTATTAACATTCCAAGATTTATTCTTAACATTGAAGAGTTCTAGGAATACATCCGAAGAAAAGGAAAATAGACCCAGAATCTCGAGAACTCCCAGTTGATGGGGACTTGGCTGCTTCGCTTGGAAAATACGCTCTGTATTACAATGTGAAAAAAGATAAATACAAGAGAAGTGCTATCCCGATAACTCCAAGACTTGCTGTAACTTTTCGTCACGGAGAGAACAAATCAATCCAAATAGGTTTGTTAGTTATATGTTTATTTCAATTGGTTATTTTGGGTGATGAAATTGTGATCCGTTCATGGTCCGACGAAAAATTTGAAGTATCAACTCGCGCTGTGAAAATTGTTGAAGACCTGAACGCAATCATCTTGAAATCGGACAATACAAATCTTTGTGATGAAGATCTTATTTCCAATTCAAGCTCACTGCGAAAAGGAATGCAATACTTGCTAGTAAGTTTTTATCAATAAAAATATTTTGCTATATTATTCCCAAAAATGCACTTATTCAGATGGGATTTTCTATTCTTCATAAAAAGACAAGCCATCTATCGTTATCAACTGGAATCATAGTTGGTGATCTGCCTAAAAGGTTGCGATATATGGGATCAAGCGGCGCATTTAAAGGGGACAGCGGTGGCAGCTGTTGGAGCAACGAAGGAGAACTTATAGGAATGCAAGTTCAAGTACAGAATGTGCTACACACTCGAGATGAGAAAGGACGTCCAGCTTCACCTGCTTCTGGAGGCCGTTGCTGCATTGTGCCGATGGCATCCATACTTTCTAACATTCTGGTAATATTAACTGATAAGTTATGTAAACAATTTTCAAACTTTAGGATTTGTTGCCACCTGCCGAATCCGATGGGGAATGTGAATGGGATGAATGGTAAATATTTTTTACTTACTACAGGCCTTATTTCAATTGACAGACATGAGCATTCCCTCTCTTGGTACTTTGGTTTTGTGTTATCAATTCCGTCTCCTCGACAAGTTTTTATGCTTACGCCTTCATGCTCAAGCGATGAATCCTACCAGTTAGACTAACTGTTCAGTTCTTCGAGTTTCTGTTCAAACCAGTGCTAATTCTATATTCAATAGTAGCTAACATTTCCGTTCTGCCAGTGGAATTCATGTTCATGAGAGCACCTCCAGCTCCTCCAAGTGCTATGGAAGTCATAATTCAATTTTGTAGTTTGTTCGAGTCCTACCGTCACCATCCAATTGTCCATATACGATAGGTTCTTCAAACTTCAAATCCCTATGATCCCTTAACTTCCCGCAATGTACACCTTCGATTGTTCTGAGAATCTATCAGGCTCTGTGTTATTCGTTCTCCTTCGCTGTTCCTATGTATTGATTGTAAAGATTATTGATTGATTGAAAAATGACAACAAGTCTTTCTGCTACTCGTAATTTGAAAATGAATGAGACACTGAAACAGACGTAACAACATAAATGATTTCGGAGCAGAAAGAGGTGAGAAAGCCCTTTTTCAAAGAATCAATTTCATCAACATCCATCAATATGACTGCTCTCTACTGTTTGTGGGAGAGTTTCCTTTCTGATCATCATGCCTACAGGTTTGAACAACGAAGAGCAAGAACAATGAAAAGCAAACTTCTTGTCAGTTGACGATAACCTTACGTATTCCTGCAGCTTCTTACATGACGTAAGGCACGAGCTTCTTGCATTGCGGGAAGTTATGGGATCATAGGGATTTGAAGTTTCCGATGCTCTTGCTGATTCTGTAGAAACACTACGACGCTTCAAGCTCCATACCAGATAGGATGTAGTTGAAAAACAGAATGCGGTGAACACGCATAAGGAAAATACGAATAGAAATATAATTGTATAGTTATCCTCATCTATATTCACCACCATAGTTTTGATCATAAATATCTCCGGTGGGGGATTGTTGTTTAATTTCTTCAAACAGGCATATGGCTATCATAAGTTAGAATTAGATAACAGACCTTCGAACACAACAGCCGATCTTCATCTTTCGTGATCATTAGCGTATTCAAGTGAAACCAGAACAAACCTACAGTACACAATCAGACATCTGCTCCAGTTCAACTAAAACCGCACGCGATGCTACACGCGAGCGCGTTGGGCAAGCTTACAATGCTATAAGATTTCCATGTTTATTCCATGGATGTGACAATGGTTATCAAGACCATTTCCATCGCAGAGCACTACTTTAGTACCGATTTCTCTTTTTTTAATCTTTACTTTTCAATTTTCTTTCTCTCAAGTTATATTTAATCATATCCTCCACAGATTACAAAAGACTTTTTTAATGGAGAAGTATCCGGTATGTTGAGTTAATATTTTACTTTATCATTTGATTAGCTCAATTTTCAGTATATATTAGTTCGAGGGAACCATCTCATAGTTGAAGTCACGACTCGAAAAGACAATACAGTAAGCGAGAACACTCTTAAAGGCGCATTCCAGTTGGAGCAGAATGTTCCTATTGGTCTCTTCGCTAAGAGACGAGCTCTTGAGTAAGTATTAAAAGTTTACCAGGGTTTTTTCATTAGGATAATTTAATTTTATGAGCAATTGTTGATAAAATTCTAATCAACATTTTCAATCTTAATTCTCAGGCGTAGGCAGGAAGATAACGATTTCGTTTACGAACTGGTAGCAGATTGGGAGGGTGAAGTATACGATTTAAAATGGAACGAAGGACGTCGATCTCGTCCAGTCACGCCCATAGATATGGATTTGGACAACGGAGACAGTTTGACATACTCATAATGAACGCTTCATGAAAGTAATAGTTTAGAAATTGAAAAGATTATGAGACTATGGGAAGACAGAGTCTTTATGATTACTGGAATGAAAGGCTCACAAGGCTCCGGAGTTTTACTCTCAGATCAACACATACTGACCGCGGCTCATTTGTCATTCAAGTTGGGTGACATGTATAACATCAGAGGAACAGAAGACCGATCTTTCACTGCAATTTGCAATTTTATCTGTATTGATAATGATTTTGCCATATTGAAGTCTACGACTTTGCCTGAAGTGAACACGCCTGTCGAACAACTCAATCACGGGAGAAAATACGTTACGATGGTATGACTTTGAGGTTTTAAAAAAAACTTCATAAATCTCTTTTTCTTGATTATTTTCAATCTTTTTCTAGGGTTATCCCAATGGCAGTACAAATTCAAGACCATCTGTCTCAGAAGGAATTATAGAAGGGTTCATGAATGATAACGTCCACTTGAGTAAGAAAGAGCATTCATTTCATTAGTTGTTATAACTTATTTTTGTTATCAATGAGGATAAATACAGTTTTTCAGTTGGGTCTCCCGGTTCTAAAAGAGGTTACTCTGGAGCACCCGTTTTCAGCACTTCCGGATATTTATCCGGTATAGTTCTCGGGGGCACATCCGGATTACATTATGAGACTACGTTTCGTGAGTGTATGGAATCTTCTGCAGAACAGAAGTATACTCGTATCTTGGGGATTCCCATAATAATCAATGTATATAGAGACGGTTCAATTTAGTTTCTTGAATGAAATTTATTATTGACTTTTTAGGACGTGGAAGGTCGGACAGTCAAAGTTGAGCACATCAAAGGATATTATAGGTTTTATCTTCTATTTTATTTCATATTTTCGTTTCGAGAACTATTCCATTCTGTATTATAGTTCTCGAAGTCACTGTTTTAGAGGGTCGTCAATGATCTCTTTTGTTAATTTTTAAAGCAGCGGAAGACCAACGCAAACTCACGGTTCTGAAGCTAGTATGGCCTCCTATGTTAAACAAGCTATGTAGATTACTCACTTCAGACCTTCTTTCAATTATTTGGCATCAGCTTTCCTCCCTTGGTACTTCTGTTTTGTGTTTTCAATTCTATCTCCTCGACAAGTTTGTATGCTTACGCCTTCATGATTCACAATAGGTTTCAGTCTTGCCTATGATAGTTATTGTCCTGTTGAGCATCAATCCCTTGATAGCATGCGTCGAGTCCTCCTGTCCATATACGATAGATTCTCTAAACTTCAAATCCCTATGATCCCATAACTTCCCGCAATGTACACCTTCCATTGTTCTGAGAATCTATCAGGCTCTCTGTGTGATTCGTTCTCCTTCGCTCTCCCTGTGTATTGATTATAAAGATGATTGATTGACTGAAGTCTCTATGCTACTCGTAATTTGAAATTAAATGAAACACTGAAACAGCCGTAACAACATGGAATTGTAATTTCAGAGAAGAAAGAGGTTTGAAAGCCCTTTTTCAAAGAATCAACTTCATCAACATCCATCAATATGACTGCTCTCTACTGTTTGTGGGAGTTTCCTTTCTGATCATCATGCTCACAGGTTCGAACAACGAAAAGGGAGAACAATGCAAAATCAAACTTCTTGTCAGTTGACGATAACCATACATATCCCTGCAGTTTCTTATATAACGTAAGGCACGAGCTTCTTCCCCCGAAAATAGACCATCAAAACAGTTCTCCAAGTAAGTTATGGTTGACCCAATCATAACTGATCTCATTCATCTGCGCTCTAATCATAACTGATATACGTGATCTCCCGTAGGTTACTGTAATTGCACACAGCTTTTCGGTCACGCCCACATGTTTTCGAAATTAATTTGATTATGCTAATTTTTATTTTATTTTTATTTGTTTTGTTTATTTTTTAATCAGTTTGGTTTGTTTCATTAATTTGTTTATTCAGTTCTGTTTTTTCCTTGAAAGGATATCAGTTGATGAGTCGACGGTTCAGGATTCCTTGGCAGGTGGGAAGTCCATGGTTGTGCCAAGTGAAAAAAACGTTTGGTAGGAATCTCGACAAGGTAGCCGTGGTTCTTATATTGTCATTACAGATGCTTCCCGCGAAAATTGAAGATGCTTCTAGTCTTACCGACAGTGCATTGTCTGGAACGAAGTTCTGAAATGAATTCAGAAGATGTATGTTAAAGGTATGTCTTTCCATTCTCTGTCCTTCTTCACTCATAGTACTTCCAGCAACTCATTTTGCAAGTCTGCTGTTGTTCAGAATAATCAGGAATCAAAGACGTGTTGCCATATGGCCCGTGATAGATCTTGGGTGAGTCGGATAGTCCGTTACTTTCTTAATGCTAAGTTTTGTTTTGTTTAGTCCATGCATAGGTCATTCTCACGACGATGATTCTGGATTCGTCGACAGGTGGGACGTCTATGGATCTTCTTCGTGAGAAGCCGGGGCTCTCACATAGTCATTTCAGATATTTCCCGCTGTCTCAGAGTAATACCTAACTAGTGACCATCATGGAATCAGAAAGCGAGGAAGTAAAAGATTGGAGATGCTTTTACTCTGACCGACAGTACATTCCCAACGTTCTGAAATGAATTCAGAAGATGTATGTTGAAGGTATGTCTTTCCATTCTCTGTCCTTCTTCACTCATAGTACTTCCAGCAACTCATTT